CAGCTACTTTTTAACTGAAATTAATTGCCTTTTGTCTGTTTTTTTTTTTTTCACTTGAGAGTTTTTTTTTTTTTTTTTAAATAGAATGTTATACAGTATTATTATTGTTGACACGTTATTTTTGATAAATATGATGAGCTTTATTTAATCTCTACACAAATTCACCGGTCAAAAAAGATGTGTCCCGAGTTGTTAACAATATGAAAAATGAATTTGTGTTAGATATAAAATTGTTCTAATTGGAATTCATTGATTCCGACCATGTCCTTCATTTCAATGCCGGAGGACAGACTGAAAAAGAAATTGTGTAATAGGGGTTATCGGCAGAAAAAGTTGGCATTGGGCAAACCAGGACAAAGGGCTTCCTTCCGGTTCAAGCCGCTGGGGCAGTATTTAATGTCTACTGTTCTATCGAAGTTGTCTCCAGCAGCTACCAAAGATGACCATATACAATGTTTAGGCTTTATTTGTGTTTACACATACTACTACATCTGTATGTACAAATGAATTATGTATATTTAACCTTTGAGACAAGCGATAAAAACAATAGTCGAGCTCAGGGGTGCCCATTACGTCGATTGCGATTGACCGGTAGCTCGCGGACCGGTCCCAAATCGATCGCGAGGGGTGTAGAGGGAAAAAAAACATTTGTGTGTCTCTGTGCATGTTAGTAATATATCTTTTGTGTTGATGCACACTGCACCCTAATCACCCTATCAGTCTGACTTTCACAAAAATTATTAAAGAAAAGAAAATAAAGCAGATCATCTTTAACCTACAGTGGCGCGTGACCTGCGTCACCGGATGTTGTTAGCGCTCAGCAGTCTACAATTGCCACTTGTGATCAGAGCTGTTGCGACATAGCTTTTATCATTATCATTATTCTCATTCAGAGTTTGTTTCATGTACAATTCACTGAGGGCACGGGCAAAGAATGGGAATCTGGAGGGCCGAGAGAAGCATTTTAAAACGGTACGTGTGAGCTACGATAGTTAAGTGTGTCGTGTGCCTCCGCGTCAGAATGTTACTCATCGTGGCATGCGTGTGTAAGTGCGTGCGTATGCGAGCGTGCGCGGTAGCGGGTCGATCGTGGGAGGTTGGTTGATCGAAAAGTAGATCTTTGGTCAAAAAAGTTTGGGCACCCCTGGTCTAGCTGGCTCAAACAATCGTGCCCCTTGTTGATGCACACAAAGTGTGCCACCCTGTTTTCCTGTTTGGTCACGTGATTTTCAGTGTTAACGCCTAAGGAAAAAAAGATGCCAAATTAGGAGATTTACTTCAGGAAAAAGTTTTTATTTATGATTTTTTTTTTTTAAGAGAAAGGCCGTGTTTTGTTGTTTTACAGAAAGATCTAGTTTTTGACAGAACACAGGATTATTAAAAAAAAAAAACAAAGCGTTGAATTTTAAGAATTAAAAAAAGGTTAAGTTATGAGAAGTAGTGTCAACGCAGGAGACGTTTAGGACATGTTTTGAGAAATACCATGAAATAACATTTCTACTACAGCTCTAATACAACTCGGTAGAGTTGACTGCATCCTCATTCCTCTTGCTTTCGTCCCCTTTTACAACCAAACATCACAAATGGCCTTTTTTACATTCATAAAGGTAGCTTCGTGCTCGTTGCTGTTTGCTCTACAGGTTACCGTCGTTTATCTAGACAAAATAATTGTTTCAATTACAATGCCAGACATTCTAATCCATTCAAAGGTTTACGCCGTTAGCTTTAGATGTTTGTTTCTTGTCTCGGTGTGACTCGACATTATTCCCAGGGTGGCGTCGTGCCACGTAGCTGTCACGGCCCACGTGGCTAAAGTTGCTTGGGTCATTGTTCCCGTCTGTGCTCTTCATCAGAGATTACGATTAGAAACAGCTGAATCAGTTGTGCAGGAATCTGCACGTCGTCGCCAGGCCTGCTTGAACAAAGCACGCCTAATGAATCATACAGCTCGAGACTGACTCCTTGATCAATGACTCTGGGCAAAACTGATCAATCATATTATGGCTCTGAAAGCTAATTTCAATCAAAAAGCAAAAAAAAAAAAATCCGGGTGGGGTGTAGGGAGGAGGTGACAGTTGATTGTTCACAGGCAAAATGCCTTAAGCGACACTTTGAACATGAGACGATCAAGGACTCCTTTTTGGATCATTTCTGTAAGCCTTGTCCTGTTTCGGGTCACACTATCGTCTGTTCAAATAAGATGATATTTTAGAAGGAAAAAAGTAAAGTATAAATCTGTAATTTCACGGTGACTTTTTTCTAATTCCGAGTTTTGGGCACATGTACAACCATTCAATCACATTCACACCTACAGCGGAGTCTTCACTCAACCGAACGTGTGTGTATTTGGAATGTGTCGGGGAAACCGGAGTAAACCTACACAAGTACGGGAAGCGCATGCAAATAGCGGAAATTCAAACCCAGAACATTTAGATTGTGAAGCAGACGTGCTAGCCTGCCCCGTGTGCTTTTTTTTGTTGTTGTTGTAAATCAAGCAGTGGTAATACAGTTACTTGAAAAGAAATTGGTCCAACCCTCGTGGTCAGTGTGAGATTTAAGCAAGCAAGCTGTCCTCTGCTGAGAAGAACCATGTTTTTTTTTTTTTTTTTAAATAGAATGTTATACAGTATTATTATTGTTGACACGTTATTTTTGATAAATATGATGAGCTTTATTTAATCTCTACACAAATTCACCGGTCAAAAAAGATGTGTCCCGAGTTGTTAACAATATGAAAAATGAATTTGTGTTAGATATAAAATTGTTCTAATTGGAATTCATTGATTCCGACCATGTCCTTCATTTCAATGCCGGAGGACAGACTGAAAAAGAAATTGTGTAATAGGGGTTATCGGCAGAAAAAGTTGGCATTGGGCAAACCAGGACAAAGGGCTTCCTTCCGGTTCAAGCCGCTGGGGCAGTATTTAATGTCTACTGTTCTATCGAAGTTGTCTCCAGCAGCTACCAAAGATGACCATATACAATGTTTAGGCTTTATTTGTGTTTACACATACTACTACATCTGTATGTACAAATGAATTATGTATATTTAACCTTTGAGACAAGCGATAAAAACAATAGTCGAGCTCAGGGGTGCCCATTACGTCGATTGCGATTGACCGGTAGCTCGCGGACCGGTCCCAAATCGATCGCGAGGGGTGTAGAGGGAAAAAAAACATTTGTGTGTCTCTGTGCATGTTAGTAATATATCTTTTGTGTTGATGCACACTGCACCCTAATCACCCTATCAGTCTGACTTTCACAAAAATTATTAAAGAAAAGAAAATAAAGCAGATCATCTTTAACCTACAGTGGCGCGTGACCTGCGTCACCGGATGTTGTTAGCGCTCAGCAGTCTACAATTGCCACTTGTGATCAGAGCTGTTGCGACATAGCTTTTATCATTATCATTATTCTCATTCAGAGTTTGTTTCATGTACAATTCACTGAGGGCACGGGCAAAGAATGGGAATCTGGAGGGCCGAGAGAAGCATTTTAAAACGGTACGTGTGAGCTACGATAGTTAAGTGTGTCGTGTGCCTCCGCGTCAGAATGTTACTCATCGTGGCATGCGTGTGTAAGTGCGTGCGTATGCGAGCGTGCGCGGTAGCGGGTCGATCGTGGGAGGTTGGTTGATCGAAAAGTAGATCTTTGGTCAAAAAAGTTTGGGCACCCCTGGTCTAGCTGGCTCAAACAATCGTGCCCCTTGTTGATGCACACAAAGTGTGCCACCCTGTTTTCCTGTTTGGTCACGTGATTTTCAGTGTTAACGCCTAAGGAAAAAAAGATGCCAAATTAGGAGATTTACTTCAGGAAAAAGTTTTTATTTATGATTTTTTTTTTTTAAGAGAAAGGCCGTGTTTTGTTGTTTTACAGAAAGATCTAGTTTTTGACAGAACACAGGATTATTAAAAAAAAAAAACAAAGCGTTGAATTTTAAGAATTAAAAAAAGGTTAAGTTATGAGAAGTAGTGTCAACGCAGGAGACGTTTAGGACATGTTTTGAGAAATACCATGAAATAACATTTCTACTACAGCTCTAATACAACTCGGTAGAGTTGACTGCATCCTCATTCCTCTTGCTTTCGTCCCCTTTTACAACCAAACATCACAAATGGCCTTTTTTACATTCATAAAGGTAGCTTCGTGCTCGTTGCTGTTTGCTCTACAGGTTACCGTCGTTTATCTAGACAAAATAATTGTTTCAATTACAATGCCAGACATTCTAATCCATTCAAAGGTTTACGCCGTTAGCTTTAGATGTTTGTTTCTTGTCTCGGTGTGACTCGACATTATTCCCAGGGTGGCGTCGTGCCACGTAGCTGTCACGGCCCACGTGGCTAAAGTTGCTTGGGTCATTGTTCCCGTCTGTGCTCTTCATCAGAGATTACGATTAGAAACAGCTGAATCAGTTGTGCAGGAATCTGCACGTCGTCGCCAGGCCTGCTTGAACAAAGCACGCCTAATGAATCATACAGCTCGAGACTGACTCCTTGATCAATGACTCTGGGCAAAACTGATCAATCATATTATGGCTCTGAAAGCTAATTTCAATCAAAAAGCAAAAAAAAAAAAATCCGGGTGGGGTGTAGGGAGGAGGTGACAGTTGATTGTTCACAGGCAAAATGCCTTAAGCGACACTTTGAACATGAGACGATCAAGGACTCCTTTTTGGATCATTTCTGTAAGCCTTGTCCTGTTTCGGGTCACACTATCGTCTGTTCAAATAAGATGATATTTTAGAAGGAAAAAAGTAAAGTATAAATCTGTAATTTCACGGTGACTTTTTTCTAATTCCGAGTTTTGGGCACATGTACAACCATTCAATCACATTCACACCTACAGCGGAGTCTTCACTCAACCGAACGTGTGTGTATTTGGAATGTGTCGGGGAAACCGGAGTAAACCTACACAAGTACGGGAAGCGCATGCAAATAGCGGAAATTCAAACCCAGAACATTTAGATTGTGAAGCAGACGTGCTAGCCTGCCCCGTGTGCTTTTTTTTGTTGTTGTTGTAAATCAAGCAGTGGTAATACAGTTACTTGAAAAGAAATTGGTCCAACCCTCGTGGTCAGTGTGAGATTTAAGCAAGCAAGCTGTCCTCTGCTGAGAAGAACCATGCCCGCATGGGGATCTTTCTCATGTATCTAAAACTGTCCACGTTTCATCCCGCTGCACTAAGTCCCTTCTCCTTTCCCCCAGTCGCTCCAGTAACTCCGCTAAAAGGCTTAGATTAAACAGGATTAGCGCGTTCAAAGATCTTCTCTCCCGCAGCCATCTGCCCACCTACCTTGAGCCAGCAAGTGTCTTATGAGCACCATGCCATCGCGTCGCCGCTGTCTTTGCAGGAAAACAATAACAAGTGGTTGCTTGCTCCAACGGTTTGTGACCTTCTTCTGCACTGGGAGACTTCTGGACTATGCCAACTTGTAGGACGTCCTTGCAACACCCAAGGGGAAGTGCTGGTTTCAGGATCTAAACACGGATTTAAAAATGTCCATCTTGTGGAGATATCTTTTATTTAGTTTAGTGCTCATGTTTTTGGACCTGAGGACTGGTAGGTATCACTTCATTGTTGGATTTCGTCCAATGGTCCAGCCTGAAGCATCTTTTGTGTCTCCGCTAGACGCTGTACTGGAAGGATCCTCCATGGGTCCACTCGAGGTGCCACTTGGCAGCGAAGCGTTGTCGTTCCGGCGTGTCGTCCGTGTGTCCGACGTCATGGTGTCCCGAGGAAGTCGCGTGGCTCTGTCCAGGCGCAAACGCAACATCCTCTTCCCGAGCGGCGTCAAGCTGTGCGCGCAGGAGAGCGCCAAGCAGGTGGTCGCAAACCACCTCAGTTTCTTCCATCTCAGAGGTAGGTCCATACTTTGTCGGATTCACTCTAGACCTTTACAATTTTTATGGTAACTATCCCCCAAAATGTCCTGTGTTGGGGAATATTCCTCCTAAGAAGCAAGGTAGCAACAAAAACGAGCCTAAGGAGCAAATGCGTTTGAACCTTACTAAATCAAATTCTTGATAGATATTTGACGTGTGTGACATCAGGCATTAGGATTTGAACCGAAATCTCAACTTAATGGGTCAAAATTCGAAATTGTGCAACCTCAGGTGCGAGTTTCTCTTGCAAGCAAATAATGCCCACTTTGGGCTTTTTAGAAGGAGAAGGACTTTTCGATGTAGAACCTGAGAAACAGAGCTTCCAGGAGTGTCCACCGTGTGCTCTCAGAGTCCACTCCCCTGTTATTGATTTTGTGGTTCCTTGTGTTCCCCATGTGTCTGCAGTGTGCCAGGAGACGGTGTGGGAGGCTTTCAAAATCTTCTGGGATCGCCTCCCCGAGCAGGAGGAGTACCAGAGCTGGATGAACCAGTGCCAGGAAGGGTTGGCGACGGCACGAGACATTGGTACCTACTTTAGCCAATCGGAGGAGCATCAAGGGGTGATCAAAAAGGTGTGTGGGAAAGTCAACATCAGCATCACACGATCACGGAAATGTGCTTATCAAAGAATCAACAAAAGACCAAATCCACAATGTAAGAAGAGAACGTACTAAATAATGAAAAAATAACTCAGGCTAATACACGAGCGAACAAACTAACAAATGAAAGAACTAAATCAACAAACTAAGAACTTTATTGGTCTATGCACACCTCTCTGAGGTTTTGGTTAAATCTTTTATTGTCTCTTAGTGGAGTTCTTAAAAAAAATAAAAAATACTACCCAATGAAAGAAAAACAAACTAACAATGAGCAAACCAGTGAACGAAGAACATTCAAACTAACAAGCAAACCAACAAATGCCCAAATGAAAGTGCGACGTAGGTATGTGGGGAGTGCCTGTGCGTGTTTGACCCTTTCAGGGACAGCGGTTACTACAGTGGACAGCTTATCGTGTTATCGGGTTACAGGGTCCATGAAAGGGTTAAGTGTGCTGCTTTCGAGCGAGACAACCGAAGTCTCTGCGTGGAAATAGTTAGCTAGCTAATGAGCATTAAACTGTAATGCAGTCGGTCAATAAAGCCCATCTCGGCAGTGTGTCACCACCACAGTGGGTCATTACTTTGCTGTTGGGATCTCACTTCATCATAGCAGCAAACAGTTTGCCAACTCAGGCCCCTGAGAGATCTCCCCAGCTAGCTTAGCTACAGTTTTCAAGGATGAATCATGTCCAAGCAAACAAGAATGGATTTATGGGACCAAAAATGCGCAAAGTTCAACCCGATTGTAGCTCTGGCCATGGTACGGCGAGGTATCCTGGTTGAAATAAGCCTAAAAAGACAAACCTGGCGGTAAAAGTCACTGCCACAACGCATTAGCGTACTTTAAAGTTCAACAGATGGATTGCAACTAAGCTAATGTGAGCCTATGGGCACCTTATGGTGTGGAAAAAGCGCCATATAAGTGCACACAATTTACCATTTTGCATTTTGATCAAATTGGATTTGTCGTTTTTTTGGACTGTAACCATTCGATTCCATTTAAAAGTCATCCAGAGGTGTCAAATACGGCTCTGGACAAGCAGGCAAAGGAGTTCTCGGGGAGCTTCTTCACCTGCCGGTTGAGTCGAAGCACCAGTGGCTAAAGCCAAAATGTGGCAGGCTTGTTTACTTTCTGGACGTGGATTTGACACTTCTGATGTCAACACAAATAGCAAATTTGATTTTATGTTTTGGAGTGTGAGCTCTTGAACTAACTAAAAAGTGAAGAACAACCTAACAGGGTGAAGCCGTAGTTGCCAACTGGCAAATTCGATTTGAAATTTGATTTCCAAATGTGGTCACAACTTAGACGTGTCTCAAGGGACCGTGCTATTTGTACTCTGTTATGTTACGGAAATGGGACTCCTTACAAATTCTGCCTTTTAACCAACCAAGCCACTTGAACCAACTTCCTGGCCCTCCTTTTCAACCTTGGTGTCCTTGTGACCCAAGGGAGTTAACCAGACGGAGTGTGCAGAAGTGAGTAGCAGTGAGCGTAAGCACATCAGCATCCACCGTACGTCTCCTTGAAGGTCCCCTTGACCTCCGTCAATCCTTTTGGTGCTTCAGGTTGACACAGAGGAACAACAACAAACTCAGTGGGAGGCTAATGCCGGTGCTAACCTTTCCTCTTTCTTCTTCACATTTGCAGAAAATGTCAGCGCCTGGCTTGAAAAGGTAAATCCTCTCAATCATTCGTCAGCATCAAAACATTGTCTGTGTTTACCACATTGAATTTTATTTATTTTTATTTTTTATACGCTTCACCCTCCAATAATGTGTAGTGAACCCACTCGATCCGGACACCATACATGCAGGTAAGGTCTTTTTTGACTTTCTATCATGACCGTAGTTCTTCAAATCTCGGTCGCAGTGCCTCAGTCAATGGCAGTTTGAATGAAGAAAACATCTCACCTTAAATAAGGCCACAGTTTCTGATGCACTTCAGTTGTATTATTGCCGTGAGCAAGAACAGAATGCACGTTTCATTCCAGAGCTGCTATCGGCTACGACTCACACCCAGGCACTCCGCACAAAGACTCTCTGACAGTCAGAGTCTGACTTCAGCCAAAGTGCAGGCTAAAATGTCACTTTGCGCATCCAAAATGTTCCTTTCTTGCTACATCTTGTTTATAGCATATCATGTATTTATATTCATACTACTACTACTAGCACTGCGGTACTTTTATAATCATTATCTCCATTACCTGCCTGCAGTGTATGCATATGTTGTTATTTTTCTAGCACGCCAGCTCCCGAAGTGACGATCACCACTAAGGCTTCTGCCAAAGAAGGTAAGCATCACTTCTAACGAAGATGTGTATTTTATATTGATGAAACGATCATGTTAATGTTACTAACGACGACTCTTTCAACCACGCAGAAGATATCGACGAGAGCGAAAAAGTGGAGGAAGCAGCTGTCATTGTGCCAGAAATGGAGGTGAATCCATGCGCGAAATATGAGTATTGATATTTTACCTTATTGCTTGCTTATGTGTTTGACATTGGTAGCATTGTACAGTGCGGGTTTGATTCTTGGTCAGTGTACCAATACCCAGCCACTGCCCAAGCCCAGATAAAAATGGCTGGCCTGCATCGGGAAGGCCTGAAAAACTGTGTCAAACCAAAACATGCGAGTGACTTGCTGTGACACGGAGAAGACGAAAGTCACTTTCTCTACTTATTTATGTGTTTGATTTTTTTTCCCCTCCCACAGCTGGACAACGACATCCCTGTGGAGCCAGTACCAGCAGCCGTGTTGGAGCAGGTGGTGGAGCTGAGCATCCTCCTCACGGGAGTCATGTACGATGATGACTTGGGCGACCCTCACTCGCTACACTATCAGACGCTCAGCAGACAGCTTGCTCAGAAGGTCTTTCTCTCACACACACACACACACACACACACACACACACACACACACACACACACACACACACACACACACACACACGCACACTGTTCCTAATGAAGTGTCCAGTGTGAAAACTATAGTAGCAAAATTATTTTTGTGTAGATTGAGGACGCCCTGTCGGCACTTCCTGGTTTCAAGAGCGTGTCTGTGATGGACTTCAGGTGAGTTTTCTCTCACGTGGCTTAATCCCAACTCATCCCATTTGTGTCAGATCCACTTTATGTTGACTGCCATGTACACCACACACAAGTGACGCTCCTTGAAAATTGCTTTTTCCTTGTTTTCATGGAGGCCTCACAAGGATCTGCAAGGGTAAGTTAGCCTGTTTCCACCTTGAACTGCACCTAAAAAAATGTAGTTCTTTAAGCCTGTTGTTTCATGAGAGCGCTTGTGCGCGCGCGCACGTATATGTGATGGTGCGTTTGTAAGTGTGTGCATAGCTGGAAGAGTGTGCACGTGTTTCCTGAGTCTTCCTTGCTGCTTGCGCTAATGGTCTTAGCAGGGTTCAGTCACCTGTTAAGGTGGATCAGCAGGGAGGGCGGAGGGGGCGGTCACAACGGTTATTTGAGCTTTAGCACCTGAAGCTGATGACTTTAAAAAAAATGGTGCTCTGGCATTCATTTTCACGTTGGAAATCTTAAAAATGATCTGTTCCAGGGTCAAACTGTGGCCATCCTGGAACATTTATCAAATGGACTGGCAATGTTTTAAGTTACCAGTTCATACAAGTGTAAAAAGAAGTTAACCATTCTAATGATGCTCTGTGTGTGTGCGTGTGCGTGTGGGTGTGCATGTGCGTGGAACATATATGTATAAACAAAAAATGGACAAGTGATTTCAGGTAACATTTGCAGAGGTGCCTAAATATTCCATCTGACAGGAAATACCGTGCTACTCAGTCAACCTGATGTCACCAAGACTGTGTGCCTTGTAGAGAGGCAAAAAAAAAGAGTAAAGCTGTGTGCAAAGTAGGTCAGAGTGGACAGCTCCTTGTAGTCATCCTAGGCTGATAGATGACTTTTTCCTCTGCAAAGCCTTTTTGGACGTGTCCTGCGCCATTAGCACGATATTGATCGCTGTGCTGACTCTGCCTAGAGCGCCTCCCGGACGGGAGTCAATTGGCCGAGTCATCCGTCATGGCTGAGAGATGAACAAGTCTTTTAACAGCCTTTCGCGTTTTCAGTCACATGATGAGAGAACTCATGTGATAGTATTTGTTTCAGCAGGAACCCTATTGATTTTTCTGCATATTTCTGGGAACGGGTGGTGTGCCAGCTCACGTGAGAGGCCAATTCTGTTGTAATGTTGAAGGGAGAATGTGGTTAAAGTGTGGAAGGGCCGTACGTTTTTTTTTTGGGGGGGGGGGTGGTCGTGTGCCAACTCCGGTGGGATGTTGAAGGGGGTTTAAGATGTTTGGCAATGGCTGTTCTGAGTTGAGATGTTGACGGCACTGCTTGTGAATGGCGGTGGGATGCCCACGGACCAAAAAGCGGATTGTGGTTTGGGATTTTTCTTTCCTGGTAGTTTTTATTTTGACTTTCTCGGTTAATTTTAAATCATTTTTAGAGCGGCCTTGTTCGTTTCTTCAGTCGAGTAATTTTTATTAGCGTTAGTATGAGTTTTAGTTTTTTATTTAATGAATATTTGTTAAGTGGAAGATTAAAAAAAAAAAATCACACTAAGAATTGTGTATTGAACTCTGATTCCCTAACGACTGTTCGACTTTACATCTCCCGTGCACCGATATAATAAAAATAAAACCTGTAAGCTCAAGTATGAAATTAATTGACAACAATGACAACTATAATGTTACGATCATTATATTTAACATTTATTAATGTGAAATATAAATTCAGCTCGTAATGTAAACAAAAAAAAAAGCACTAGCTAGTTTTTTTCAATTTGAGTTTTAGTTCTTTCGTCCATTTTCATGAATGACAATAACCTTGATGGTTGCTAAAAAGATGTCGGTTCGATTTTGTGGGCGTGGCGTACAACCTCAACTGCTCCAAGCGCAACCCTCCTGCATGTCAACAAGAATTTTTGTGTGAATAAAATTTCCTTGAACTAATGACGGCTGTTGTTCACCCAGGCTGGACGGCCTCGTGGTGGACTACGCCGTCACCCTGGTGGTGGACGACACCGGCATCAGCGGTGACCAACTGGACTACCTCACCCTGCAATCCAACCAGGTGGAGAACTCATACCGCGAGGTCAAGGAGCACCCGACACTGGTCTACGCCATCAGCGAGCTCAAGACCTTCGTGACTGAGGACCTCCTGAAGGGCGCCCTGGAGAGCGGTGAGACCCGCCTGCACAAACAGCTACTTGTGAAAGGCGCTTGCTTTGCCGTCCAATGCAAACTTTCTCGAGGTCACCCGAGACGCTCGGCAGACGCTGCAGCGACATGACGACACAACGCTTTTGCCACATGAGTAAACATTCTCAAGCGCTCATCTGTTTCTTATTTGTCTGCTCTCGTCGTCAGAGAGGACAGAAGCAAAAAAAAAAAAAAAAAGTGGTCCATATTTAATGAACAAATAACAGTGGCGTGTTTTTGGGACGGCGTAACCCGACTGCGCTGCGGTTTGGGTCCTTGTCACCGACTGTGCCGCAAAGCCAGGAGGACAAGAAATGGGAGACGCTGGGGATTTTTACTCGGTTCACTCCAGGCTTTTGTGTTGGCTGTGGGAAGATGTGGAGAGGTTGCACTCATCTGCTCACTAAGTAGGATATACTCTCCCGCTGCTGCACCGGAAAATAAACAGACAATTATTTTATCATTGATTGACAATTAATCACATGTATCGTCTGCCGTTTGCCAAAAGTCAGCATGGATAAGCTCCAGCTTTTCTGGACTCGCGTATATGTCATTGTGACCGTCCCATTCAAAATTGGCTTGCGGTTGACTGGTGACCAATTCCTGATGCATTCACGCACCCATGCGATGAATGCCTCTTTTTATGGTTGACGAGTGCCCGCACGTGCTTATGCAATCGCGGCCTCGGCGCACAGCGGCTGATCTTTTCAGATGTTTGCTCAGTTCTGGACCTTTTGCAGTTAAAACATCATCTTGTATTCATGCTGGTTCCTCTCCTGCTTCCATAGTGCCCGAGACTCCCGAGACCTTCCACGCTGCAGGAGAAACCTTGGTGAGTGAGTTGCGAGTCCAAAATCACCGACGCAGTTGTGATTAGCTCCATCCAAGCTTATCGGACATCTATCTGTCCGTCCATTCCCTCCATAACAGATGTTGTTTGCTTGTAATTGCTTTTAAAATGCGAAGGCCTGCAAAAACGAGCGGATTTGAATTTGAAGTCCTTGTGACGGAGACTCGACACTCATTATTCTCGTTATTATATTATAAGTACCTGTCCACTTTGTGGTGTTTCACGCCCACTCGACTCAGGAAAAATGACAGATGGGAACTTTGCATCAGCTGAGGAATTAGCTGCTTCACATTATTTTGGGAGGAAATTTGAGAACCAGGATGGCCTCATCAATGTAAGCGTTCACACGCACTACAAACAATTTCCCGGGCGACACAGCCACACGTATACACACAATGGGCTGTCTCTCCCCTCTGGCGGCGGCGAGGTCGCGTAGCATCAACATGGAAGTTGATTCTAAAAAGAAATAATAATAGTGCAACTGAGAACCAGTCGCTTCGCACTGATCGGTCTGCTTTAGAGTGATCGCTGGGCAGGCTCGAGGTCGCAGAGTGTCACCATGGAGGAGAAAAAAAAAAGGGAGGAAAATTTTTCCTCCAGGGCGACCGGGTTGGCACACCGCCGTGACCGCTTCACAGTGTACCATGGTCAGCCACGATTCTGCCAGTGGCCCACAGATGTTCAACGGAGCCAACACACACAAGAGACACGGTGGCCACAAAACGCCAACATATCGGCAACTACCAGTCAGAGGATAGATGTTTTCCCCATTTCACATGAAAGTGAACAGCGATCCAACTGGAACAAAACATATTTACATGTTGATAATTTTTTTTATTATTAATGAGAAAACAGCCTGTTCAAAAATCACGCACATTTCTGACAAAAGTAGCTTGAAAAAAGGGCATCCTGATCACTTCCAACCCAACTTCTTGTACAAAGCCGATAAAAGGACATCAAAGATGAGAATGTGTTTTTATTTTTAACATTGTGGCATGGAACCTTTTAAATACAACTCTTAAAAACGGGTTCTTTCTTTCAATGTTCTTTTATTGTTTTTCTTTCATATATATTTTACAATGCGGTGCACTTTTTTTTTCTTCTTAAAATTGGAACAAACAAAAAAAAAAACATTTTAGGAGATGGTGAGGGGCCATTTCCATTTATTTTCGTGGGGGGGCAATTGATTTGAGGCATGATTTGTGTTATCAGCATGGTCATGGGTCGAATGAAACTCACTCGTCAACCCCCCCCACCCCAAAAAAAAAAGTACTGCAGCATGTGTGACATGAACCTGTAGCACCAGCTCACCAGGTAACAAGGATAAGCGCACCAAGGCGAGGGATGAAGCGGATTAGTTTGTTTATTGTTGCAATAATCTGCTGCTATTTTCAGGTCAAGCGATACCATCTAACGTCTGACTTTACTTGTGCGGCGGAGCCCTTCGGGGCTGCTCTAAATAACGTCTGGTGGTTGACTTAATTGAAACCCATGATTCCGTGAAGTGAAAAAAAAAATGTCGGGAAGTAAATAAAAGCTGAAAGCAAATCCTCGATTTAGCTGATTGCAGTGCTTTTTTAGACATTCTTTGGAAAATATCATTTCAGTACAATATTGATGCTGGCATCGCGTTCCATAAACTTTGGCCTGGTCACAAAAACGGATTCACTTTGTGGGATGCTGAAAGGAGCCTCGATGGAAACATAGATACGCTACAAACGAATTCTTGTGAAGAAAAACTGACATGCTATGTAGGAACGGGTGTCCATTGAAGGCCTCACAGCAAAGATTTCAAAGCTAAATAATTGAGGCTTTCCTATATTTAGCCAGTCAATATCACATAGTTAAGGTTGCCTGTGGCCCCAAGTTTGGATTGTCCGAAATAATCCTTGTAAGTGTACAGTATATTTTTTTTCCTCTCAGAAGTCGGACTTCTTTCCTCAGAATTCATTTATGTTCTTCTCTCTCTACATTTTTTTTCCTTTTTAGCGTTTCTAATAGTGTACCCCTTTGTACTTAGGCATGCTTGACACATCATCTCAACAATTTTGGTACGGCTCATCATTAATTTGAATTGAAGCAGAGCTTCTCCAAATGTTCGACTCTTGTTGTGTATGAGGCCAGAATTGTGTCAGCAATGACTTTCACTGAGCGAGCATGTTGAACCCATGTTGTCTTGACGACTTTTGAGACCGGGTCGGGTTACAGGAGCACACGTACGCAATGCAGCTTTCGTGCTACGTTAATTGCGTCTCATTTCACTTTTCTCTGGAATTTCCAAGGAGCTTCCTGAAAACAACCTCGAACGGGCTTTTAGTTTTCAACAACTAATCATGTTTGTGATGCAGAATGAACCAGCAGAGGCTCTAATCCCGGACGACGTCATGGATGACGTCAAGGGAGACCAATTGCTGCCTGAAAGCGTTGGCGGGGACACGGTGGAGTCTTCTGAAAGCGACATCGTTGTCCTGGAGGAGAGTGTCGAGATATCCTCCCCTGCTGTGGTTGCGACAGCCGCGCCTGAAACTGGCAGTGAGTCTTAATTGTCAACCCATGTTCCCTCCACGTGGAAATCTTAGCCGTGTTTTGAAAAATTTCTCTGAGCACGGTTAGTAGTAGCAGGTCAGTTAGGGTTTCCAGTGTTCTGTAGTCTATAGTACAGTATTGTGGGTGACCTAAACCATTGCGAGTTTCAAATTTCACAGCATTATTTCATTGCGGAAATACAACACCCCTAACTTAGCCAAGTTCTTGAATGACCCCTTATGAAGTCCCACCCAGTGGCATTGGTCCACAGCTCATTTTGTACCAGGCTGCAGAGAGACCGAACAAAAATATTTTTATAAGATTACAAGCTTGCAAAAATTTGTTTGAAAAAATTTGTTTTGCTCTGCAAAGATGTCGTCATCTTTACATGGCTAACTCACCAAGTTTCACTGAATTTATACATTTTTTTCAGGCATCAGAGAAGAGGATCTGCTTCTGGAGAACACCGTGCAGACCGCCGCTGCAGACAAACCCGCAGAGGAAGACCAGCAGGTGCCTCCCCCCTCCGAGGATCAAGATGGCGTCACGCTGCCCGAACCACCGGTGGTGGCGGAGGCCTCAGGCACAGGGGACCTGGACAACCTGCTGTGGCCAGATACAACTCCGGCAGCACAAGACACCGAAGACGTGGTGGTCCTGGAAGAGGAGCTTCTGGACAATGGTGTCGACACCGAAGACCTCCCCGTGAGTGAAACCGCAGATGATGACTTTGTTCCTGAGGTACTGAGCGAGGCAGCTGAGGAAGGAGGCTCGAAACATCCTGAGGAACCTTTAGTTGAAGAAGCTGGCGTGGAAGAAGCAGCAGAGAGTGATGGACAAACTCCTGAGGAAGCACCCGCCTCAGCTCCGGTGCCTCTTGAAGAACCTCCAGAATCTTCCGAAATCGCGAGCGACGACATCGCGGACGACGACATCTTGCTGGTCAACAAAGACGCACCATCGGTTAGCATTCCTTTAAGCCCCGCCCCACCGACTGCAATGTCGGCCGAGAAGGAGTCGCCCTTCACCCGTGTAGCCGTCGAGGCCCAACCTGACACTGTCATGCCGTCAATCGTGGAGGTAAGCTGGAATGTGGCGCAGGAAGTTAAAAAAAAAAAAGGATGACGCCGATTGACATGAACTCACAAGAAATTTACCATTATTCCTCAGATCCAAAACAGTGATGAAAATGATTCTCCCATCGAAGACCTCGCTTATGACGTCTTCCCTTACGGCTTGATCAACCACACGGAAGAAGGCAGCACTGGATTCCCGTTCAGCGTATCTCACGTCACCGACCCGGCCAGCATCGCCATGCCGGCCAACCCTGGTCGAGCGCTCATGGTGTTCTTCAGCCTGAGGGTGACCAACATGATTTTCTCTGAGGATCTCTTCAACAAGAGTTCCCCAGAATACAAAGCACTGGAGCAACGCTTCCTAGAATTGGTACGCTTCAAAAGAAAAATCACTTGTGGTAATCTATAGTTTCACTCAACACGTGTCCGATTTTGCCCTGCAGCTTGTGCCCTACCTCCAGTCCAATCTGAGTAACTTTGAGAACTTGGAGATCCTCAACTTCCGAAACGGGAGCATTGTGGTCAACAGCCGGATGAAGTTTGGCAAGCCGGTGGCTCAGGGCGTCACCACCACCGTCTATCTGATCCTGGAGGACTTCTGCAACACAGCCTACCAGACCATGAACCTAGCCATCGATAAGTACTCCCTGGACGTTGAGTCAGGTTCGTATTTTACTGCGGCATTACTAGACTGTGATGCAAGCATCTTGGAGAGCGCCTGAGATTTCATGTGTCGGGGCTGTCTGGTAATAATAGCAACACGTTTAGTGCAAAAGGTTAAATATAAACGGTAACGGGGGCATGCCAACTCTGTCAGATTTTTTTTTTTTTTTTTTTTTTTTTTACTTGGTAAGGACTCCCAAAAGGGGGCCCCATGGAAAGGGATGTTTTTTTTTTTTTTTTTTTTTTTTTTTTGCGGAGGGGGGTACAAAATGAACAAGTTGGCTACATGAGCACTTCCTCAGAGGAGAGTGGGTGCGGCAACTATGTTGTTGAAGGAGGTGTGATGGAGTTTGGTGTTTTGTAGTGTTAGTGCTGTCAATCACCAACTGGCATGTGGGCACCCTCCATGAGGTGGGAATTAAAACTGAAGTGGGGGTCTGGCGTGATACTCGCGTGAATTATGAACGCCGATCCATCTGTTTTTGATTGGGCTTATTCTCATTTTGCTCACGCGTGATCTGCCAACTGACTTTTGAGTGAGAGGGAGGACACACCTGCTATACTTGCTAGCCTATTACCAAGCGCCAAACAAACAAGCAAGCATTCACACTCACATTCACACCCAAGGATAGTTTTGGAGGCTTCAATGTACCTCATAGTCATACTTTGTAGCAGTAAACACGGTGAGGAGGAGGATTTTGCTTGAGGTTTCTTATTTTTTTCCCCACCCGCATGTTTTTGTTTTCCTTGCCCAGTTGGTTGCTTACGTCAGGGGATGTTGCTAATATTTGTCAACTGTGAGTTTGTGAAGCCCCTTTGAGACTCTCGAGACGGAGGGATTCTATAAAAAATAAACGTGACTTGACCAGAGCGGGGATTCGCACACTGTGGTGCTTGGCACCCCAACCGTATTGAGAGTCTGCGGCTTAAAAAAAAAAGTTTGGCAAAGGCTACGGTAGTGACATAGAACATCAACACGAGTGAGTCGACAAACTCACCACCGAACATCAAAAGCCACCGTCACGCCCATGAAGTCACCTTGGAAAACATGTCTTTATGCAATGTGAGACCACGAAGTCCTTTTCTTATATCCCGTCCCTGAAAATGGTGAATCATGTTTTGTCTGCAATGCAGACTGTCAAAGTCTTTCTAAATCAAAAGCTTTGCACACTGATGAGGTCACAAAAAAACATGACTTAGCTCTTTTTTTTTTCTTTTTCTGGTCATATGTTCCTCCTCAGTGGCAATAAAGTTCGAACTCATGTCGGCTTTCTTTTATTGCTCTCTTGCTGATCGAAGCAACATGGCTAATGCGCTTATCTTGACAGAAAGCCGTCTTGCTCTCGCAGGAACAGATGACAACTGTTAAGAATCATCTTCACGGTTCTGTTGCAGCTAGCGCAATAATGCAAACTTAGACACTTGTTATTGTGTTTTTGCGGTTTCTGCAACAAACATTAGCGGCCGTTACGAACTTCCTAAACACAATTTGTCAACCGTTTTCATGCGAGGTCTGTTTCTAGGATCAGCCAGAAAATGTGGAGCCATGAGCAAAAATGATCTGTGTACAAAATATGTACTCAACTGCGATCCCAACATGAGAGTGCTAAAAAGTCCAAATATCCCCGTTCGTATTTAAGTGCTGATATCACATGTACTAAATGTGTTTTTGATCTGCTTTGACACTTTTGCACAATAACAATTCCTGCGGTTCTGCGACTTGTAGGCGACCAGGCGGATCCGTGCAAGTTCCAGGCATGTAACGAGTACGCCAAGTGCAAAGTGAACAAGTGGTCGGGCGAGGCCGAGTGCGTGTGCAACGCTGGCTACTTCAGCGTGGACGGTCTGCCTTGTCAGAGCATCTGTGAACTACGCAGCGACTTTTGCCTCAACGATGGCAAGTGTGACATCATCCCTGGTCAGGGAGCCATCTGCAGGTGGGTGGAGATTAGGGGGAAATCATCTGTGTGTGTGTGTGTGTGTGGGGGTCAGGCGTGCGCGTCGACAACCTGCAGGTTGTCGAGGCTTAAATCACAGCAGGCACGTCTCGTCTTTTGCATGGAACATGCGGGAGGAAAAGAGAACGCCTCCCGCGTAGATGGTTTACTCAGCATGTAACTTCTTTCATGTACATAAAATAGTTACATTTCAAAACCTGGGCCTGTAATCAGTCTCTGAGATGAATCACGGTGAGAAGTGTGCAGTCTTGCCACATTAACAACTAACTTTCATTGTTTGAAATTCTTATTGAATCAAATATATCGCTTACCTGTGCCAACCATCTTGACTCAATGTTAATGTATGGTATGCATTCTTTAAAAGACTACTGTGCCCTCTTTTTAGCCCTATTTTTTCTTTCTTCTTGTTGTTTTATTATGTTTTATTCTGCTCCTGCATGAGTTCAACCTGCTAAAGCTGACATTTGGAACATGTGGTTGTTGTGCTCGCTGCGGTTTTATCAAAATAATTATGACCAGACATGCTGGAGGCTCTAAACCACGCACAACCTTTTGTTTTGACGCCAAACAACACATCATTGAGTACTTCTTGTTGTCTTGGGCACTGTATGAAGTAAACAAATGATGGCGTAGCCTCACGTTTTTCACATTGACTGCCACACTAGTAAAACGCAGATCAACCCCAATTTACAGACGGCAAAATGTTAAAACGCAACATGCATAACACACTGATTTTGGATCACAAGTAATAAGCGCATGGCAGCTAACCAGTCGGTGGCTAGCGTGAGAAGCTAACATACTGGTATCGATTGCCCACACACTGCTGCTCCTCATCAGAAGGCTCAAATCAGATGGACCCAAATGCATGACGCCGATCACACACGATATCAATCAAAGTCCTTGGTTCCCAAAAGGTTGCGCAATACAGACTAACAACTCTATCAAGCTAATGGGAAAGACAAGAACTCGAATTTACATACACTGCCCTTTCCAGGTGCCGTGTTGGTGAAAACTGGTGGTACCGAGGAGAGCACTGCGAGGAATACGTATCGGAGCCTCTAGTGGTTGGCATCGCGGTGGCGTCAGTGGCCGGATTCCTTTTGGTGGCGTCTGGAGTGATCTTCTTCCTCGCCAGGACCTTACGGGATCAGTATGATAAGGATGAGTCAGAGGACCCAATACGGTATGGGAACTTTTTACCCTTTTGTGACAACATTTCCTGTATTATCCAGTACCCCAATGGCGCGAACTCCGAATATGCTCGATTCTAGCAGGTCAAAGCATGATTATTAACCTCGGGCATTGAAATGATGGCACGAATATCTTGATTTACATACCACGGAACCACAATGACACACTGGACGATAAAGAAGCATTATTCCGTCTTTTGAAGTATTTGACCTTGTTAATTAAGACACAAATAAATTGTCTTGAAGTGTTTTGGAGGTCGGTTCATTGTCAAGTGAAGCGTTACACCAATGAGGGAAGTGAACCTTTCGACCTGTACTACAAGTAAGGCTTTGAGGAAAGCATACCTTTTATAACCGTGCTGGGACCCAGGAAGTGAACCCTTCTAGACTTCGAAGAGCCACGGAAGTGGACCGGTTCAACCTTGCAGGGTCTGAGATTTTCCTTCACGTAATGTATTTCAAAATGAATCCGTTGGGTTATTTTGTTTCAGGGGTCAGACTGAATGGAGATTCTCCTGGCAGTTTGGCAGTCAACTTTAGCCACCACACAAAATCCTTCACTCTTTATTCATGATCCTTTTTGGGGCAGTCACACAAAAGAAGGACACAGTCTGTTGTCTTACAAGTGTTGTGTGTGGTGATGCCAACTGCGGAGCAAAACTGCTAATCTTAGCCGATTAACTACTCCGATAGGATGTCGATTTGCAGTATTAAGGCACTTGTCGTGATAGTCTGGAGTGTGGTTTAGGCGGAATTAATCTGCATTATTATGTTGACTAAAAGGGGACATGTATTATGGGGTCATTCTGTTTACCTCGAGCTTTCCGGGCAAATTTTTCTTTTGGGGTGCTTTCACCTTTGCCCTGGGGTGTTCACACCGGTTAAAAACACCCCAAAACAAAACATTTTCTCCTGAGATCGGATCAAGGCTGATTGCTTTCTCGCCACCCATTCAAATGATTCATGAGCAACTGGTTGCTTTCGCCCGTAACACAGTTTTATATCACACCTGACCAAAGAATCCAAATGTAATAATTTGCCAGTTGGATGGAATTTCCTGTTCTTACCGCATCCGAACTAGGGGTTCAATTGTAACCGACTGCTCCACATCAAGTTCGATTACCATGTTTGCACCTGACCAAAGGCAGAATACAATATTGTTGCCATTATGCTAACGCCAAGGAAGGGAAATGCTCTAAACATGCTATGGCTAAAAAAAATAAAATAAAATAGGATTTTAACTGTGCTACGGTCAGTGAAGTGCATAATCACTACTATCAATAAACGTGTTCCAAAGTGTATTACTAGATCTGTGCTAGGAAGGGTCAGGTTCCAACAGTTGCAAAAACCAAGGAGGTGTCCCATTTCAGCCGTTTGAGGAACAAGCAAATGTTCCATCACAGCTATGCTGTGCTAGGGAAATGAAATTGAACCGATGCAATCGCACTTGGGCCAAAGTACTGTACTGTCACAACCAAGCTGAGGCCAAGGAAGTGTACTGTTACAAGGTGCTCGGGCCCGCGCTACAGGTAGATCATGAAAAACGGTTCAAAAATTGCTGATGTCTAAGAGCCTCAATCAACCCCCCACCCTCATGGCACGATTCTCTGCAGGCGCGCAGAGAGCATTCCGTCGTTAGAGAGGGCGACCAAGTACAACCCCATGTACGAGAGCGAGGCCACCACCGGCTACAGCCACTACTACCGCCGCTACCCCGAGGCTCCCGTCTACAGCAGCGCCAGCGCCGAGGCCTCCACCGACTTCAGTAGCGAGGAGATCCGACACATCTACGAGAACAGCGAACTGACCAAGGAGGTGAGTCACCACGCAGTAATCGCAACTCCGCCTGCCCAGTGTACACTTTTATCTCCATGTGATGTCATGTTCCTTTCCGACAGGAAATTCAAGACAGGATACGCATTATCGAGCTCTACGCCAAGGACCGTCAGTTTGCAGACTTCGTGCGGCAGCATCAAGCGTAAATAAACACCATATAATCTACCGTACAATTGCTCGGCTGCCATTCCCCACAGAAGCTCTGCAAATGCGTCCACACGTTTTATGCCGTAAGTGATTCTCGAGTGTTTTTTTCTGCAGTGTTCTGGATACCCGAAGAGAAAGTTCTTCAGCACAGACATGAAACAAAAAGGTATTTCTTGTCAATTTGTCTCCCCCGAAAACTGTTCAAAATAAAAAAAGATGTCCTTTTATAACCCTGAATGGAAGAACAACTAAAAACTCAATACAAAATTAAAAAGGTAGCGGCGCCAATGAAAAACATGTATTGTCACCACTTAATGGCCTCCATATAGTTTGCCGGGTCAGAAAGTGGTGTTGTCGAATGAAGACGGCGTTATGTGCCAGGCCACCACTTGGCTGCGAGAGAGTCAACTACTGTCGTGTTTTTATTGCGGTTCTGACAGGGATTTTGCAGCTCCAGCGGTGCCAAGGTTAGTCGCCTTCTGGCTGCAACTTCAAATTTCGAGGACAATTAATATCCTCCGACTCTCTACAAAACGGGCAGATTGCATTCTTGTGAATACAACAAAAGTCGACCTTCCCCCCAAGATGCTCTTCCACCCCAGCACAGTCTGTTTGTTATATATAAAATAGCCCGGAAAAACCAACAAAGTGACATACAAACCTAACAAAACAATAAAAATGAACCAACCAACAAAACTAGCCAAACAAAAACTAATCATCAAAGTAAAACAACCAACCAACTTAATACAAGCAGTAAACTACCAAAATGACTGACAACCAACAAAAACAAATCAACCATCTAACAAAAAAATAACCAACCACGAAGCGGACAAAAACTAGTCAAGCAAAATGAAGCAACCAACCAACATAATCCAACCAGGAAACCAACTACAGTAACCAACTAACAACCAACTAAAACAAGCCAACCAACCAACGGAGCAAACTTATCAACTCACAAAAAATGAAGTAAACCAACCAACGGAGCAAACTTATCAACTCACAAAAAAATGAAGCAAACAAGCAAGCAACTAACCAACCAACCAAACACTCGGATCAACCAACCAGCTCATAAAAACTAACCAAAAAACTGCAAAACAAATCAACCAACCATACTGAAGCAACCTCCAGAGCCCCGACAAAAACTATTCAACCAACCAAGCAACTTTAATGAAGCGACTAACCAAAATCAAGCAACCCGATCAAATATGAAGTCACCAACCAACCATGCTAACCACCTAGCGATCACCGTACCAATCTGACATTTGTCTTCTTGTTCACAGAACAACACGTCTGTCTTCTGGAAGGCCTGGTCTGAGCACTCACATACGGTCTGTCATCCAGGACACCTTCACCTCTTTCCATGTTTGCATCTGTCTCTCCGCGAGAGGCGGGATAGCGGTCGCAGACCGTCTTTTCTTCCGCGTCCTTCCTTGGTGCCTTCTGCTGGACATGTCCCTCCGTGGAATATGTACTTCAACCATATTGTCAAACGGATGAAAATGAAGAACTTCAAGCATTGCTCACGTACCCGCAGTAACGTAGCTTAGCTAATAGCGACAGCTATCTCCTTTTTGCGTGCGTGTGACGCTCACAAATGAGCCGAGAGATGCCGAGTTAGCTGCGATTTAGTGGATGGTGCTCATGCTCGTCTGTGTTTTCTTGATGTTTTTGACGTAGTCCTCTAGCATGAAAGTGACACGTTGGGATAAATTCTTGTCTAATGGAGTACTTAGCGTCAAGGCGGCCAAATATTCGATGTCGTGGAAGGAGTTTTCCCCGACGTTTCAAGGCTCCCACCGAATCGGATGCTTGGACATGTTTGGACGTGGCGAGGCGGACGCTGAAGGCAGAAGGCAGCGAGCCCCGTTGAGAGGCGGCATCCAGAAATAAGTGAAAACACATTTTGCCGAGGGAGATATGTTTGGAACAAATGCTGGACTTTCATACGTCCCTGCTCAAGAACGGTGGAAGAAGCGACAAAAACACTTGAAGGTTAGCAGCAATTCCTTTTGAATGTGACTACCAGTTTGGCCCCGTCATGGTGTTTTCTTTGGTTTTTGTCTCGCATTCCACCCTTGGACGCGTTGCACTCCATCAGCGTTCTCCCCGCACTGCAGTAAATCGTAGCTGTCCCACTTCGTTATGATGTTTAGCTCGCACACATGCACACACGCATACGCAGAGTTGATGAACACCATGCCTTTTGCAATCAATCGCTTACTACAGTGGAACCTCTTAAATCCAACCAGGTTGAGCAATTAGGACCTTGACCCAGTTTGAACGTCGGTACGTCAACTGGCGACAGCGGGTATCACAAAAAGCACACAAAGGATTAGATTTTTCTTTTGAGTTTTTAGAGAAGAATATTCTGGAAGCAAAAAAAAAACAGGATGAACTAATTGTTCCAATTAAAAAATGTTTTAAAAAAAAAAGTTACATTTTCCCCAAAACCCAACAAAAGATATTTGTTTTACTATTCGTGGTTAACTGCTGTGGTTTAAAAAAAAGTGTCTTTTTACTAAGTTACAACGGCTTGTTTTGTTTTTACATTTTATTATACAGATTGCCTATAATTAATAAACCATTTATGACGGCAACAGTTTGACTATTTCTCCAACGGCGGGTTCCAAAATGGAATTTTGGCCATCGACTGGTTTGTGCTTAACTTTAGAGGTTCCGTTGTAAAGCTGTGTCTCAGTTCAAGCAAAGGCCACCAGACACCAACGTCCACTTCTGCACAGTCAAGTGCACTCTTCTTACATATATATGAACGAGTGAAAATATCAATTCCGATATCCCAAATGTTTTATGACCTAGTCATGTACTTTTTATACTCTTGATCTAACCGTATGTTTCCATCCTGTGCAGCTGCTTCACTGCCCTGTGCAAACCAAAGCCATGTGTGTAAAATAAAATTGTGCTTTGTAACACATCAGACTTTCTATGTGACACTTGGTTTGATGCACTCTGCCGGGTCGCGGAATTAGCATCTAATCCCACAAACCGGATTAGCCTCAAGGGTGTGGATTAGCGGCCCCACCTGGGGCCGTGACGGTGTCTAAAAGTGTGCCCCGCCGTTAATCGGCCTACGTCACGCGCTCGCTCGCGCGCACGGCCGTCGACGCCGGACGAGTGACACGGTGTGGCGCAAGTGTGCGGGTGTGTTGATGTTGCAAAAGTGCAAAGGACAAAAGAAATGGATGCAGCTGGTATTTGCTGATTTTGTAAAACGTTTGCCAAATGCGAAAAGCAGTGAACCCAAAGCACCTGTGTTGGTTGCAGCTGTGTGATGGATGCGCTCTCCTTTCACTCACTGCGATTCAACAACGATCAATTCCACAGCATCGACAAAGTAATGTAATCCGCACTTTTAACCGGATCTGCAGTGATTAGCGGTGGTCAGAAATTACCCGGGTGCAAAGGAATAATCCTGATAAGATATCTGGTGCCTGCTCCTGTGCAGCAAACATCAGCAGGTCGATGAAGAGACTGAAGATGCTCAGAACTGATTTCCACAAGCTGTTCCACCGCAGAGGTGCGGAAAGTTGTGATGAAACGCAGAGAGAGGAACGCAGACCTCAATGAAGCGAGGCCTTGGAGGCTTCCAGATGAAAAGATCTGCAGCGGTTCTCTGATTGGGCCCTGAGGGACTCCTCTCAATTGTACTGAAGGGTCCTTTTAGGTGAAGCAAAAATTCACATCAAATCTGCACGGTCAGCATTCAGGAGCACTGTTTTTTTTAAAAAATTTGTTAACTGGATGAGCTAACTTCAAAATCCTCCTGGCACTCGAACGATGGCGGAGGAAAATGAGACCACAAGAGAGTGAGTCCCATGCATCAACTTTTGACTGAAGGCCTCATCAATCTCCCGCCATGCACTTTTAATCCGCCATCGACAAGCGTTTAAATGGCAATGGTGTTTGAAATGCGAGAGCAGGTATCCGTGGCAACGGGAAAAAGCGAAATAAAATATGCGGCATCATAACGAATTGGTTGCGGATGGTTTGGCTTTGCGGTTGCGCTCAACTTGACAGTAATGATAGCCCGCAGGGGATCCGGTGGATGTCTCAATGAGCCTACATGCAGACGCTCTCGTTAAGTGTCTTATTTATGAATGTGTACTTTAAATAAAAACCGAATATGGCTGACGAGTTCTGGATACGCCAGCTTTTATACAGGTCTACACAAATATCAGTGGTAGGAAGTAGGGAAATACAAATATTTGGGTACTTAACTGTTGTCGGTGCTGTTGTCGTTACCTTGAAAAAGTAACTTGGTTGCTTTACTGATTACTTGATTAAAAGTAAATTAAAAAAAAAGCAAAGTAATTTAATTACCAATTGCTTGATTTTAAAAGTGAGATTACAAGTTAATTTGTTACATTCAGCAGATGCCGACAACACCTCAATGTAAAAATGCTCACCAATTTTGTCAATATTTTTTTGCCCAAAATTTTTGGGAAGTGTATTTCTTTACAGTAATGCTTACACATAGTTTATTTGAAGAATAAAATAAAGCCAGTCATTTTTTTAACTTAAAAAAAAAACAGGTCAAATGTGTACCCCTTTTTAAATCAGAGGTTCAATTAAACTTTTCTTGATGAACTTTTTCCACTGATTTCAACTCTCCCCTTGTTGATTCAGTGTAATGAGTGTTTCTGGATTTCACTTCACACTTTCACGCACCCTGTTACCTGATAACATGATAAACTGTCCACTGTAGTAACCGCTGTCCCTGAAAGGGTTAAATAGGCAACTTGTTCATTTTATCTTCCACTAAAGAAATAAAATAGACATTCTGCCAAATCAGTAAACACAAATACATTATTAAAAGAAAATGACAGTCCTCCCAAATTTCATATTACATAAATAAGCTAATATCATTAAGAATTTCAAAATACTACTTTAGCAATGGGAAAGGGCATTGCTGCTCTGTACTACATGTGCAAGCCAAATCATTAAATAGATCAATTTCACCCCACTCAAATTTACTAAGCAGATGCTAACATAAATAGCGTGTAACAGATGAGTTCAATTATTTCCTACGGGGGAAATGCGTTTTGAACACAACTGCAAAAAGTCAACCGCAATTTTTTTTTTTTTTTTTTTTTTTTAAGCTTGGCAATCACTGAAAATTGATCTCATCACTCTTATGAGAACCCTGCAGTTCATTTTGTGTCCTTTAAGCATTTATAATAAGCTTTTTGCTTTCAAGATGCTTAAACCGGGTTTGGATTTCTGGCGTCAGCATGTCAAGCAGATGTTTGTGGTTAAAAAAAGAAAAGAAAAAAAAAGAAAAACAATAGCACCATCTCAAGTGTTCTTACAAGTCACCTGACCACAGATGGCCTCACTTAGCAGCCACCGAGAGAATGATTCTGAAGACTGTTTTTTTTTTTTTCTCACAACTATGGCAACCACTCTGTTTAACGGAGAGCAAAACATCGGAATTCATTTGTCAGGTGTCTCCCAATACGATACTTTTGCAGGTGCATCCCGCTCTGACTCCACTTTGTATGGATTTGGCACTTCCAAATGATGTATTTCGGCTCATGATACTTTTATCTCTTAGCCATGCTTAGTCAAGGGGTTTTCTGTGTCACACCGAGTTTGATTTATACGACGCAGATGGGCCGGGGCCCTTGGGATGACTCAACAGAGCGAAGACCGTAAAACAAATCGCCGTCATGAGGGCTCTTTCCAGCGTCTTCGGCAAAGGGAAACGCTCAAAGGTCCAACGGATGACAAAGTGCCTTTTCATGCAAAATCACCCATTTAACCCAAAGCGAGTGTCGCCTCTGTGGTCAAAATGGCGATGCGGGACATTTCAAACCAAATTCATTCCAAGTCTTTTGGTGCGATTGCTTGTATCAGTAAAGTCAGTTTCGGGTTCTGGGATTAGCATCACACTTTTCCTTAGGGCCGTTCTGTGAGGTCATCCTAAGACTCTAAATTGTCAACACGTATGAGTGGAAATGATTGTTGGTCTCCATTCCATTTTCAATACTTTTGGAGGCGACTGTTTGTGCCCCGTGCTTGACTGGTGACCAGTCTCGAATTTTCCCCCACCTCTTGCTCAAAGTCAGCTGGGATAGAATCCAACTGAATCCTGAGCGACCCCGATGAGGACAAGCGCTGTACAAACTGGTGCGTGGCTTGGTTGCACGGTACAGTAATCCCGAATGAACAAAACAACATCTTCAATCTTGGGACGTTCAAATGATGACGATTTGTCGAGTAAACGGAATCCTCCTCATTTTTCGGAGAATTTCCACTCGTTTTCCAAAGAAGTCTACACTAACAGGCCAAAGAGACACTTGAAAATTTGGATCTTGCACCTCTCCTGGGAACATTGCGCCAAAAAAATTGCTGCTTCTGAGTGGAATTCCCACAAAAGGCGGTGGAAAAAGCCGTCACGGAGTTTTGATTCTTCCAAAAGTGGGCACAAAATGAAAGTTGACCGGAGTGCAATCACGGGAATAATATCGTCGAGTAAGCGGTGAAAAACCCTGAAGGGGGTAGAAAGTGCTGACGTTTGACGACAATCCGCAGCTAAAGCAACTATGACTTTGTTTGAGGGTTCAATCAGATCGGGTGCTGACGACTTGGCGTCTTTGGATCGGCCTTGGCTTGGTGCTTTCCAGGAATCAAGCGAACAACCACATTTTCATAACGTAACTCCATCAGAATCTGCAGACGCACGACGATGCACACGTGATACACTGCGGGAGGCATTTTGCCTTTAGCAGATTGGCTGACATGAGAGTGAGACACTGAACAATTCTCCTGAGATTTTTTTAGGGGTTTGAAAGGGCTGGGGGGGCTTCTTTTTGCGTATTCCAAAAGAAGGAGCAGCCTCAAACAGAGCGGCTAATAACTAACCGGGCAGACTCTCAACGAAAGTACACCAAAATTGATGTGGCGGCGAACATTCCAAGCTGCATGATTGGGTTTCCCTTTTTGTACATCACATTACCTTGATTTACAGTGACACTTTGCTTTACATGACAACATTTTATGTGACCTAATGTTGTGTTAGTTTATGTTACGTTCGTCGGGGCACTTTATGCTACATTTCTTTTAGTTTCTTTCACTTTCCCATTTCACTTTGTTGTGTTTCATTGTTTTGCACTTTGTGAAACCCGTATTCAACTGTGCTACCCGTTTCATTGTTTTCATCAAAAAAGCAGTTAACTTTTTATTTACACTTGCCGCGGTAGTTCAAGACGTGGTGTTCTGCCCACAGTAAAATTTTCAAAAGCGTTTCATGAAGGTTGAAAAAAAAGGGGTTCCATAACATTTCCTTTTTTTGAAACGTCATAAATCATGTTATTCCGTGCAAAA